ATTTTATTTTTAGGGGCCCCTGGGTGGCTCAGTTGATGAAGCATCTAACTTTGGCTCAGGTCATGGTCTGTTTGTGAGTTTGAACCCCACATCGGGCTCTGTGCTGACAGCTCAGAGCCTAGAGCATGCTTCAGATTCTGTGTCTTCCCTCTCTCTCTCCCCTTCTCCGGCTACCACTCTATCTCTGTCTCTCTCAAAAATAAACATTTAAAAAAAAAAAGATTTTAAGTAATCTCTACACCCAAAGTGGAGCTCGAGCCCACAAGTCAGAGATCAAGAGTCACACCCTCCACCAATCAGCCAGCAAGGCACCCCAACACTGGCCTTATTTCTTATCTTCAACACACAAAGTTTGTATCTACATCAAGTGCTTTGCCCATGTTGCTCCTACTTGAAATCTCCCCTCCCAAAGTACTAGAGGGCAGACTTATCATTCAAGTATCAGTTCAAATGTTACCTCTTCTGAGGGCCTTCCCCAAGCACCACAGTGAACGCCATGTCACACCCCCATCCTTACCCTCTCCGCCACACAATCCTTCTTTACCTTCCTCGTAGCACTTAGTAGCTACAATTTTCTTATTTGTCTACTTGTTTATTTTCTGTCTCCCCAAAAGTACAACATAAGCTCCACTCTTCTTGTTCACTATTGCACTGTCAGTGTCTAGAACAGTGTTAGGCATATGGTAAACATCCACTAAACATTTTGGGAACAGCTGGCTCAAAAGCCCACGGTGTGCTCTCCTAGTTCTCAAGATGGTGACTCTATTCCCTCTGCTCAAATCTGAGATTGGAAATTTGTTTTCTCATCCATTCAATCATTCATTCATTTACTCAACTCGCATCAACCTGCACGACAGGACACTCAAGATGGTACTATAGTGACATGAAATCAAAAAAGACCTGTTTCAGAGGCACCTGAGTGGCTCAGTCTATTGGCCATCCAACTTCAGCTCAGGTCATGATCTTGTGGTTTGTGGGTTCAAGACCCACGTCGGGCTCTGTGCTGACAGCTTGCTCAGAGCCTGGAGCCTGCTTCGAATTCGGCTTCCTTCTCTCTGCCCCTCCCCCACCTGTGCACTGCCTCACTCTCTCCAAAATAGATAAATGTAAAAAAATTTTTTTAAAAAAATGATGTTTCATAATCCCCAAGGTTTGTTTTTTTTTTTTAAACATGGCACTTTATTGAGAACTTAACTTCTGCCAAATATGTCAGACTCCTCTATAGTTAACTGCCATCTCAGATTTACATGTGAGAGTTTACAGGACTTCCTCAAGGTCACATGATGAGAACTCAGCACCCTAGCACCTCAAGGCAAAACCAAAGACCTAGGAAATGTATTTGCAAGTGCCCAACCACTTTTATTTACCATTCATATTCATGTGCACAAGAATAAAAAATAAACACCAGAGAATGAATGTGGCATCTCAAAATCTTCACCTCTGTTTTCTTGACTGTTTCTAACCTTACTACATGGTGGCAGGCACTGTTAAACAGTTAAACACTTTCAACTTAAGGAGATCTGTTCTCAGGTTATGAAGCATTAATGTTACCCTGGTTGACAGGCTGAGTCTCGATGCCAAAGGGAAGTATAGTGCAGGTGCTAGGACTTCAGCTCTGGAATCAGAAAGGTACAAATTCAAATCACACCTACTGTGAACTAGTGATAAGGCACTAGGCAAGTTTATTTCATCTTACTTAACAATTATACAGCACTTACTAGATACAGGCAAAGGTCTAGAATACTTTGCAACTATGATGTGATAATTAGATAAGTCAGATATAGTATCATTATCTGTATCTTACATGAGGAAACAGGCACACACAGGTGAAGTAACCTGCTGAAAGCCTAGTGAGTATTAGAGTCAGCATTCAAGTCCAGATAGTGATGCCAGAAACCATGTTCTTAATCATGGTTAACGGTATATAACCATATACTGTTTCTTCTCTAATCCTATTTCCAATAGGTCTGTCTTATCTCACAGGATCATGTGCGATTACTGGCATGCAGTAGGGTAAATGTTATCTACTCTTAGTAGTGGTAGTAATTGCCATCATTCTATTACCTTCACCTTTGGTCCAGCCAAGGGCAGAAGAAAAATATTTTGGCTGGGAAAGACTTCCAAGGCCATCTGCAGTAAAATACATTAGAATACATGGAGTAGAAGCTCCATGAGAATGGGAACCATCTGCTTCACCTATCCTCATATTCGAAGCAAGTGGTAGATATCAATAAATATGCAGTGAATGAAGTAGGAATAAACTGAATGCATGGACAGGATTCTGCAGACACAACAACTAAGATAGTACCATCACTTCTCAAATGTAGCTAAACACAACAGAGATAAATTTACAAGGTTCTCAGAGGACAGTGTTAGCTGGCCATTACTTAAGACGGCCTGGCTATTAAGAAGCAGTGCAGTATAAAATGTTGTTCATTCATCTTAGCTGAATGAACAAACAAGAACACCTGGATTTTATTTTTTTTTAATTTTTAATGTTTTTTCATTTATTTGTGAGAGAGAGAGAGCGTGAGCAGGGGAGGGTCAGAGAGAGAGGGAGATACAGAATCTGAAGCAGGTCCAGGCTCTGAGGTAGCTGTCAGCACAGAGCCCAATGCAGGGCTCAAACCCACAAACCGTGAGATCATGACCTGAGCCGAAGTCAGATGCTTAACCAACTGAGTCACCCAGGCGCCCCGAGGACACCTGGATTTTAATCCTCACTCTGCTACTGTAAGTCACCCAGGTTCTCAAGGTCTTGGATTATCCACCTGTAAAAGAGGAAGTGGGACTATATGATGATCATAAGCAAAGATATTACATTTTCTTATTTCTTCATAACAATCTGATTGGAAGCCTATTACCAGTATTCAATAAGCATTTGTAAATGAAGATCATCCCAAATTGACAGATGAGGAAACCAGAATCCAGAAGTAATGCGCTCAAGGTCACAGGGTCAGGACAGAACATGAACTATGGCCCAGATCTCTTTCTATACCAGCCTACACTCATACTTTCCAAGATCTTCTTTCAGTTCAAAAATACTGTGATATTGATCCTCTCTTCCAAGATCACTAAATCGGTAATCATTTAACTTCCAAATAATATTGTCTGCCTTCATTACATTACGGGACAACAGGATTGGAAAAAACAACCACCTGTATTTCTATGTTAACCTCAGGAATCAAAAGATCTGAAATAGGACAAACCCCTTGTCTTTGCCCAGAATCGAGAGATCAGAAGTATTTAAGATAAATGGTGATTTCATTTTAAGCCATATGGTCTAAATTTCAGCAACGTGATTTTTAAAAAAAGCGATAACAACCCAACTAACCCAACGCTTCCCTAGAGTACAGCACATAACTTCTTTAATTTTAGCATCAAAGTTGAGCCACTTGATTCAAAGGAGATTCACAAAGTTAAAATGTAAAAGGTTATCAGAGAATGTGTAATGTATGATTTTTATTAATGAAATACATGCTTCGATATTGAAACCTTGCATGTAACTCCTTCCTGGTGTTGCCAAGTTATGAGTGAAAAAAAAAACATCTGGCAGTCACAGTCAATTTTCTAGACTGTTCGTAACAGAAGAGTCAAGGTCAAACCGATGAGTCTCTTTATCCTCCCACCTTATAATTGAAAAGCAACTAACTGTGAGCTCAAAATTCTCTATACCGGTACTCTCACAAATACAACTATTAGCTGAAGGATCATACTCTGGCCCAGAAAAGTTCTGTGAAGACAAGCTGGCATGAACAAGAACCCAAGGGCAAGTTGGGCAGATGCTCAGGCCACAGCACTTCGGGACACTCAAAAGAGCAGAAACTTTCACCTACTTCTAGCGGTTTTGCCACCTATCGAATGAGAATCATCATCCCACCAGATGATTATATGAATCAAATGATATGTATGACGAGGAGTGAAAACAGTCTTGCAATCTTGCAAAAACGACAGACTACCGTTATCATTACTATTTACTAACTCTGGGCCCGGAAAGTCCCCTCGCATTCTTGGTTATATGCTCCGCAGGACATTCTTAGAGCGGAAGAGAATACTAATCTCTTCTCCAGACTCCAAGTCGGACAATCGTACGTGCTAGGCTAGCAAGTCTCTGCTGCCGAGAGATGAGACGTGAGGCCTTCAGACCCTGGGCCTAGTGGACGCAACAACGACCGCGCCCCCCAGTCACCTTGTCCTCACCTTGAGGAAAGGAAAGAAACCCTACGAGGGGGGTACAGTCCTCAGAAAGGGGTGCCTCCACTCGTCACCTGGCCGCGGTTTCTGAGACCTACGCTTCCCACCGGGCGCTTCCCAGGGCTGGGAGAGCTGAGCCGGGGACGCCTTGACCTCGGGCGCGGGAGGACCGGGCACCCGCGCTGGGCCCGCGGCCGGGACAGGCACAGGGAAAGTCGGCGGGAGGTCGGGCCCGCCTCGCCTCGCCTCGCCCACAGCCGCAGGCACAGTAGGAGGTACCCCGCCCTCGTGAACCCAGAGGCCCCTGAGTTGGCTCACCTGCAGCCGGGTCACCAGTAGACTGTAAGGCGCCATTTTGTGCACTGACAAAGATGAGGACGCATGAAAATGACGTAAAATGCTGCGTATTTAAGCTTTCGGGGAGGGGCGTGGCCTGAAGAGAAACGCGTAACGGTGAAGGTGGGGCCTCCGCGGAGGGGCCAGCGCCCGAGGAGCGCAGTGGGCGGGGCTCTCGTGTTAGAAACGAAGGCTTGAAATGAAAACAGCTGCAGAAAAATACTTGCGGAAGTAAATGCTGGGCACAAAGATATGGTATCGAAATGCAAACTCACTTGTCTCTTCTATCCAGAGCTGGGAAATCCTTAAAACATTTTCACGCCCCTGCCAAGACCTGGCCCGCCAACTACAACTTAGACCCTTCTTTTTAACCGAAGGGTTTTGATCGCGCGAGAGTGGGCGGGACTTGGTGAAGCCTGGAGGACCAATCACGGCAACCGGGAGGCTGGAAAATGGAGGTTAAAGGTCGGACGGAAGTTCTTTGAGCTTCCGGTGGCCGGCTCGTGTCGGAGTGATGGCCAAACATCATCCCGATTTGATCTTTTGCCGCAAGCAGGCTGGTGTTGGTGAGGCGGCTTCCCGCCCCCGGCTGTCTGGGTGGGGATAGTATTAAGAACCGGGGGGTCGGAGGTTCCCGTCGCATCCTTAGGGTTTTGCCTCGGAGGCGCCACTTTTCCCGCCTCCCGGTCGGTAGCGTGAGAGCGCGCGGGTTTGCGGTCTCTTGAAAAGAGGGCGGGAGCGCGCGTGCTGGGAGCCTGAGGCGGGCGGCCTAGGTGAGGTCCGGAGAAACTCAGATTGCCTAGGTCCTGGGAGCGGCCTCAGGAGGGTGTGGGTTCGCTTCGCATGGAAGCTTATGAGAGTAAGTTGGGTAAGATCCCTCGGGGCTCACTGCCGCCCCTGCTGCGTTGTCACCCCCAAACTGGCGGATGGCTTTCCCCTCTTCGTCCAAACCGATTCTAATTGTATTCTACTCTCTTTGCCTTTGCAGCCATCGGAAGATTGTGTGAAAAATGTGAGTGGAACACGCCCTCCCAAACACCCCACTCCTCCCCTTCAATTAGTGTAGAGCCAGCCAGTGGACATTTCCAGCAATGCCACAGGGAGGGCTTTGACTAGATGTGCCTGGAAGTATGTGAACATTGAATGCTAGGCTGCAACCGAGGGCCCTCTCCACCTCCCCACTCTGACTTGCACTTTTTTTTTTTTTTTAATTTCTGAGAGAGTGAGAGACAGTGTGAGCAGGGGAGGATCAGAGAGAGGGAGATACAGAATCCGAAACAGGCTCCCAGCTCTGAGCTGGCTGTCAGCACAGAGCCCGACACGCGGCTCGAATCCAGGAACTGAGATTATGACCTGAGCCGAAGCCCGACGTTTAACCGACTGAGCCACCCAGGCGCCTCTGACTTGCACATTTTAAACATGTTTAGGTCTTGAGAAAATCTCTGACTTTGGGCAAGAGATAGCCTGACCCCGTCCCCAACATCCACGTGCTTCTTTACCAGTAATCATACAGACTTATCGTCTAGGAAGGAGTGTTCTAGGCTCTTTATATATTAGTTGATTAACTTATGTGTTGAGGGGATTGAGGTGGACACCAAGTTGGCTGAATTTTGAGAGTAGGCCAAAATAGAGGGTCTTAAAGTCGCTCTTAGGTGGACACTGGTGTATATCCCACAGCAGGAGGAGGGCAGTAGACCTAAACAGGTACTGGCAAGTGAGCATAATTCCCTTCTCTCTTCCTCACAGGTGACGGCAAGTGTGTGATCTGTGACTCCTACGTGCGTCCCTGCACTCTGGTGCGCATATGTGATGAGTGTAATTATGGCTCTTACCAAGGGCGCTGTGTGATCTGTGGAGGCCCTGGAGTCTCTGATGCCTATTACTGTAAGGAGTGCACCATCCAGGAGAAGGATGTGAGTGTATACTAAGATTTCCATCTGATCCTTGCTGCTTTTATTTAGTAACTCTCTGCCAGCCATGGCAAACTCCTGTGGTTTGTGGAGATTACTATGTTGAGCTGGTCACATAGGTTATAATTTCATCAAGTTCTGTGAGCTGAGCTAGGTGTCGTCCAATAAAAGGCAGTTATTTTGCGTCAAGGGCTAAAATGCAAAAGAAGCAAATCTTTGTCAACGTCAGCAATTTGGAGAGCCCTCTCTCTATTCTTTTGATGTCTCTCTGATTTTTCATACTCGGAAACAACATCCTGCACTTTTGAGTCCTGGCATGGTCTGTAATGTGTAATAGCTACTCCGTAATTCTCTTTACTCTCATTAAAGATTGTTAGATGTGGTGACAGTTGAATTTGGAACAACTCACGTTGATTTCCACTTTAACTGACTAAAGAATGCCTTTGGTTTGATATTGCAGAATTGTCATTCTGTCGTGACATTTTTGCCCCTTGACATTGTGTGGTGGTAGTGACTATTCAATTTCTTTAGCCAAATGCTAGGATAGAGGGCTTGCAGAGCTATACTAACGGGAGGTTTTACTCTTCGTGTTTAGTTTGGAGGCAGAAAGCTTCTTAGGGGATGGGAGACTATACATCAGCTTGTTTTCTTTATATGACACAGTAAAAAGAAGTGCGATAATAGTACCATTAAGCTACTAGAAGGTACCTAGATACCTAATCTAGGGTAAACCAAAAGATACATGATTCTTAATGGTCACACGTGCAGAGTAGGTAGTTTACATAGATGTCTTTTTTTTTTTTTTTTTTCCAAAGAGATTGAGCAGGGGAGGGACAGAGGAAGAGACAGAATCTTAAGCAGGCTTCATGCCTAGCTCAGAGCCAAACACAGGACTTGATCTCAAGACCGTGACCTGAGCTGAAATCAAGAGTTGGACACTTAACCAACAGAGCCAGCTAGGTGTCCCTGTCATTATTTATTCTTCCCAACAACTTTGTTAAATAGGGATTATTATTATCCTGATTTTACAGTCTCTCTCTGGTCAATAAGTGACAAATGCAGGCTGTCGGACTAAACCCAGTGGTGTCCCCATCACACCTTGTCCTTTCGTAAGTCCTTCTGGTAGGATGTGCCCACTTTTAGTAGAAACACCCAGCCTCGGGGCGCCTGGGTGGCTTAGTCGGTTAAGCGTCCGACTTTCGCTTAGGTCATGATCTCACAGTTCGTGGGTTCGAGCCCCGCGTCGGGCTCTGTGCTGACTGCCAGCTCAGAGCCTGGAGCCTGTTTCAGTCTGTGACTCCCTCTCTCTCTGATGCTCCCCTGCTCACGCTGTCTCTCTCTCTCTACTAGAAATAAATAAAACATTAAAAAAAATAATAAGTTTTAAAAAAAAAAAAAAAAAGAAACACCCAGCCTCCCCAGCAGTCTGTATATTTGGATCCTGTCTATTTCCAGGAAGTGGAACATACCTGGCCAGATAAGATTGTTTCTTATACCATTATGTCTTTATTTTTTAGGGGGGTGAGAAAGGTCATAGATAAAATATGGAAAATATAATTTCAGTCGGTGTCCTGTCTTAAACCCTGATTTGCATTTACCTTTGACTCTCAACGCATATCCTTATTGATCTGATGCACCAGCGAGGTTACACTCCTTGGTTTGGGTATCTTATCTCTCTTTTACCTGAGTTCTTGGTACAGTGCTTGGTATGTATTACAAGCATGGTCCACATTGGTGCTTCCCCTATAAGTCAGTCATAGGAGTGCCCCATATAAAATATCTGATATATAGCAGGTATTTATCAATTATTTGTAATTGATAAATTCCATGGGAAGGCAGCAGCAGTGAAGAGAATGCTAGCTCTTAAACCAGCTAGAGTCCATAAGGACAACATTTTCTTGAACTTCTGCATTGTTGTAGCTAGAGTTCTTGTCTGGAATAAGCTTGTAACCAGAGTGCTTAATAAATTTTAATTACTGTCTGACTTGTCTCCATGTGGTATGTGAACTGATAACCTTTGGGTCTTCATGCTTCATTCTATTCCTGAGAATTGTTGTAGACATCAGTTCATCTACTTCCTACTGTACAGGAAAGTTCTGAGGATACCTGAGATGGCGTCTAGTTTACATATGCTCAGCAGTAGTTTCCTAGGAACACAAAGCAGTCCAGTGACATGATCCAGCCTCTCAGCCTTCCAGATCATCATGTAGATTAAATCCCCAAGACTTTTTCCTATGCAGAAATTGTCTTGCAACCAAAGCAACCCAGTTATTGTACTCCTCTTCCTGCTGTCTTCATAATTTATAAGGGAATTAGACCAGTAAACTAGACGGGGTCTCCTCACTTAGTTTTTCAGCTTCGAGAATACTCAGGAGTCGGGGGGGAATATCTGTGGGCACTGCTGCCAGAGGACTAATTTGTAGTTTCTTCTAGTGCAGCATCATGCTGATCTCATCCCTCCTTTACCCTCACTTTCTTTCCTCCTTTTATTTAACCATTTTCTTCACCTCTCCCAACCAGAAGATAAGAATAGCCGGTAACATTTGTAGAGCTCCTCCTGTGTGCCCAAACTATGCTGAACATTCTTTTCCAAAAGTCCTTTGTGATACTAACAAGAGAACTGAGGCTTCCAGATGTTAAGCAACTTGGCCGAGGGTCACATGGCTAATCAATGGCAGATGTAGAACTAGAACCCAGGTTATCTGACTCCATATTTCTCATGTTTTTTGTGTCATTATTGCCCTTCTAAAGAGAAAAGTTAAAATTCAAATTATAAATTGATGTCTAACAAAAGAAATAAGATTTTCTTGGGAGGGGAGGAACTTTAGATCACAAACCATGGTAATATTGAAGATGCTTTCATCCCCTTTAAGAGTGGGTAGTCGGGGCGCCTGGGTGGCTTAGTCGGTTAAGTGTCCGACTTTCGCTTAGGTCATGATCTCGCGGTTCATGGGTTCGAGCCCCGCGTCGGGCTCTGTGCTGACTGCCAGCTCAGAGCCTGGAGCCTGTTTCAGTCTGTGACTCCCTCTCTCTCTGATCCTCCCCTGCTCACGTTGTCTCTCTCTCACTCTCTCCTAGAAATAAATAAAACATTTAAAAAAAAAAAGAGTGGGTAGTCAGGGGCGCCTGGGTGGCTCAGTCGGTTAAGAGTCTGACTTTGGCTCAGGTCATGATCTCACAGTTCATGAGTTCAAGCCCCGTATTGGGCTCTGTGCTGACAGCTCCGAGCCTGGAGCCCGTTTCAGACTTTGTCCCCCTCTCTCTCTGACCCTCCCCTGGTCGTGCTGTCTCTCTCTCAGAAATAAATAAAACAGGGGCGCCTGGGTGGCTTAGTCGGTTAAGCGTCCGACTTTCACTTAGGTCATGATCTCGCAGTTCGTGGGTTCGAGCCCCGCATCAGGCTCTGTGCTGACTGCCAGCTCAGAGCCTGGAGCCTGTTTCAGAGTCTGTGACTCCCTCTCTCTCTGACCCTCCCCTGCTCACGCTGTCTCTCTCTCTCCTAGAAATAAATAAAACATTAAAAAAATTTTTTAAATAAATAAATAAAACATAAAAAAATTTTAAAAAAAAGAGTGGGTAGTCAAAGTCAAAGCATTCACTTAAAAGACCTCACCATATTACTCTTCTCAGTGTAGTTAAGGATGTGCTTCTTCCTCTCGCTATTTCTACCATCCTCTGCTCTGCTTATGTGAACAGCAGAGCCCATTAGACTGATAAAAAAGATACTTGATGCTTTTCAAAGTTAATTCATAATTCCTTACAACTTCTTCAACGTGGAAAAGTTTTGTTTTTTGCTTCTGGGAAACCCTAGTAGTAAAAACACCATAATAAGAGACAGAAAGCCCATGTTCAAGTCTTTGCTACAACATGCAGATGGCTTTGTGGAATTCTCTCCAAAAAAGAAGTAACAATCCTTGTTCCCTCATGGCTACATTTATTGAAAGATTGAAGGTCTTTCTGAAGGAAAACATGCTACTGTTGTTAAGGTCCCAAACCAGTGTACAGTCTGGTTTGTACATTATTGGTGTTCACTAAACAATTGTCAAAAGAACGAACAGCATTTGGGATGCCTGGCCAGCTCAGTTGGTAAAGCGTGCAGACTCTTGATCTTGGGGTCCTGAGTTTGAGCTCCACATTGGCCGGTAGAATTTACTTAAAAACAAAAAAACAAATGGGCACCTGACTGGCTCAGTCAGTAGAGCATGTGATTTTTTTATTTATTTATTTATTTTTTTTATGTTTTATTTATTTCTAGGAGAGAGTGAGAGAGAGACAGCGTGAGCAGGGGAGGGTCAGAGAGAGAGGGAGTCACAGACTCCGAAACGGCCCCAGGCTCTGAGCTGACAGTCAGCACAGAGCCCGACGCGGGGCTCGAACCCACGAACCGCGAGATCATGACCTAAGCGAAAGTCGGACGCTTAACCGACTAAGCCACCCAGGCGCCCCATGTGATTCTTGATCTTAGGGTTGTAAGTATGAGCCCCACGTTGAGCATAGAGATTACTTAAAAATAAAATCTAAAAATGGGGCACCTGGGTGGCTCAGTTGAGCATCCAGCTCTTGGTTTCAGTTCAGGTCATGATCCTAGGGTCTGTGCTGAGTGTGAGGGCTGCTTGGGATTCTCTCTCCCTCTTTGCCCCTCCACCATTAAATTTTTAATGAAATTTCAGAAGTTAAGTGGCCACCAGACATTTACTCTGGACATTCAATCCAAGCTACAGCTGCCTAAAATTAAAAGTTCCCTATGCTAGTAATTGGGAAATCTGCCAATCCTCTGGGAAGATTGAGAAAGGATGAAATTTCAAGTATTTAGACATGCAGTTGCTAAAAGAGCTATTGGCAGACTTCTGCAGGTATTTTTAAAAGTCCTTCTAGCTCAGCTGAGAAATACTTGTAGGGGAACCTGGGGGGCTCAGTCAGTTAAGCATCCAACTTCGGCTCAGATCATGATCTTACAGTTCTTGAGTTCAAGCCCCACATCAAACCCGCTGCTGGCAGCCTGTCAGTGCAGAGCCCACTTCAGATCATCTCTCCCCCTCTCTCCCCCCCTGCCCTGCTTGCACTCTCCTGAAAATAAATATTGTGTATGTGAGTGTGTATATACACACACACACACACTTATATATACAAAACAAATACTTAGGCTTCTTAACAGTCCTTCCATCTTCCTCTTTGTGCTGTTCATTCACAGCATACTCTGCAAAAGCCAGCCAGTTACAGGGGCGCCTGCGTGGCTCAGTCGGTTGGGTGTCTGACTTCGGCTCAGGTCATGATCTCACCGTTCATGGGTTCAAGCCCCGCGTCGGGCTCTGTGCTGACAGCTCAGAGCCTGGAGCCTGTTTCAGATTCTGTGTCGTCCCCTCTCTCTCTGCCCCTCCCCCACTAGTGCTCTGTTTCTGTCTCAAAAATAAATAAACTATTAAAAAAAAAAAAGCCAGCCAGTTACAGAGGACACATCCTCATCTTGCACAACATTTAGACCCTTGGGAGAGGTATAGAAAATAAAAGGCAGGAATGCTCAGGCAACAAAACAGGAAACCTGTGGGTCTGTGTTGAGTTGGGTTTTAACCATAATGAAATTGCTAATAGTTGTTTTTGGCAGTTTCTTAAAATTTATCAAGGGCTGATTAAATACTTAATAACTTACCAAAATTCAGGTGGCCTGGCTCTAGAGCCTATCATCTTAACCTAAACTAATAAGTGAGGATGGAGGCACCCAGTTTGGAGGATGGAGTCTAGTATCACCTCGCAGGACTCTGTGGCACTCTGTGGTTTGTGAACATTGCCCTGCTCTGGCCCACGTATTTTAGCGTTATAGAATACAACTCCAAAGAGAAGTGACTTGCCCACAGTCATGCAGGTCAGTTAGGCACAGTAAGCCTAACCAGGCTGTCATCATAGCATCTCTAAAGATACCTTAGAGCACTGTCCTGTGTGATACCAGACCTGCGGCTGTGAGAGGCAGCTTTTCCCTCATTTGTGCCAGGACTTTCAGTACAGATTACATGGTTTGAGTCCACCTAGGGAACCGTTGATGGGGCTGAGCCCCCTCCCTGGCTCCATCAGCACGCTGAGCTGCTCAGATGGTAGTTTTTTTGTTGTCGTTTATTTATTTTTAAATGTTTATTTTTTGAGAGAGAGAGAGAGAAATGGGCAGACTTTGACCTGAGGCGAAGCCAGAGGCTTAACTGACTGAGCCACCCAGACACCCTTCAGATAGTAGTTCTTAAGGTAATATATGCTGTGTAGTTTTTAGAAAGTAATGAGATGTTAGTGTTGGCCTCACATGTTTAGAGGGTGTTTTTTTTTTAATGTTTATGTATTTATTTTGAGAGGAGGGAGGGGCAGAAAGAACCCCAAGCATGCTCCGAGCTGTCAGCACAGAGCCCAACACAGAGCTCAATCCCACAAACCGTAAAGATCGTGACCTGAGCCAAGATCAAGAGTCCGATGCTTTAACTGACTGAGCTACCCAGGCGCCCCTAGAGGTTTTTGTACACTGTTATATTGGTCTCCCAAAAGAGAAATCAACTATATTAGAAATGAGAGGTCTAAGGACTTGATTCATTCATTCTAAAGCCCAGTGTCACATAGGTGTTTAATTAAAGATCAGACCTGTGAAGGTTTTCTCTAGTAACATCTTCCCCAGTTTGCCCCCCATCATCCCAGATCAACCGATGGAGTCCTCATTTCAGCAGAACACAGCTTCCCAGAGGCTTCACTGGAACCACTCAAGCTCACAGAATGGCCAGGAGACATGTCATTACAAATCAGAGTAGAGACCTTCAGCAGCCATCTCCTCTGGCACAGGAACACTCTTTCCCCAAGACCATGTGTCATATTCAATGAATTAATAAGGATGCATCGGGCCCAGTTTTCTCCTACTGTATTTAACATGTAAAGTACTATTTCCTAAAGCCTTCCGGTTTTTTTTCCTTGGTGGTCCTCTTCCCTTTATTGAGCTAGGGGAGGAAAGCTAGAGAGCTTGGTCTGTTAGATGATTGTTACTATTTCTTCTCACTTGAAGAAAACCGTTTGATATCTTACGAGTTAAATTCTACCTCAGCTATTTCAGATTAGCAACAGAAGTGGGCTGAGAATCCAACATTCTTTTTTTTTAATGTTTATTTATCTTTTGAGAGAGAGAGAGAGACAGCATGAGCAAAGGAGAGGCAGAGAGAGAGGGAGACACAGAATCCAAAGCAGGTTTCAGACTCCAGCTGTCAGTACAGGGCCTGCCGTGGGGCTCAAACCCACGAACCACAAGATCATGACCTGAGCCAAAGTCGGACGCCTAACCGATTGAGCCACCCAGGCTCCCCAATAATCCAATATTGTAAGTGCAGGCCACCCTAGCTAGAGAGTGAACAGGCCCTGGGCACATTCTAGATGCTTAATAAATTCTTGATGATCGATTGAATAGAATAACTGAACAGGTAAGGTAAATGGCTAAACCTGTTGATCAAAAAGGTATTTTTTATTCTAAATCCCTTTCAGTTCAGACTCAAAGACTTTTAACAACTTCCTATCCTGTTTTCCAGAGAGATGGTTGTCCAAAGATTGTCAATTTGGGGAGCTCTAAGACAGATCTCTTCTACGAACGCAAAAAATACGGCTTCAAGAAGAGGTGATTGGTGGGTGGCTTTTTCCTCCCACCAAGCTGCTGCAGCTGCCAGAAAAGACGCCTACTACCACCAGCAGAGAGGGAGCAGAGCACAGAGCACCGCCCAAGTGCCTGTCAGTACGCGGGCACCTCTCCACCTCTCCTCTTACCCAGACCCGTGGTGGGAACAGAAAAATCTTCACAGAGCACTCTGGCAGACAATAGCAGAGAAAAATTGATAGATTGGTCCATGATTTTTCTTGAATTCAAGAAACGAGCCTCTGGGTTTCCAAATTGCTATCTTCCCTCTACACCAGGAGCTTCTGAAACAGGAATCCCATCATTTCAGTCTCTCGTTTGAGGAATTGACCACGAAGCTAGTGCAGCGAGGAGCCTGTTCTGGCAGCGGCCTTGGTGGCTGCTGCTGCTGGTGAGGCATCTGCAGTGTGGTGGGGGGCTCTCACTATGCTCAGTGTGGGCATTCAGTCTTGTAACACTTAGCAGGTGGTGCCTGTTCGTGTTCTTCTTCTAAGAACTTGGAAACCCTTTCTGTTGCTGTGTATTAATAAAACAGGTGTTTCTTTTCTGGTACTCGGTCACAGTCCCAATTTGACTCTAGGAATTTATTTTATTAGTCACCCAGGAATTTGTGGTTCAGGGTAGATGCATTGGGATTCATCCTGCACCTTGTTCTCTTATTGCTACCAGCAGGAATTCTAAACTATGAACCTTTCATTATAGGCAAATCAGAGTTGTTTTTAGAAACTTATTTTTCTTCCTGTTCAACTTTAATTTGAATTGAAGAACTGGCTTCCAATGGTCACAGGAATGAGACAAAATGTGTTCAAACTGATGAGTTCAGAGGACTGAACTGGGTTGATCTATTTCATAAAATGCACATATACTCACATTAAGACTTTTTTATTTATTTTTAAGTAAATAGAATAAGAGGAAATTCAGACATATCCTTTACCCTAACACAACTATTTACTTTCTGTCTGCTGGAGGTGATCAGCAGGCTATCCTACAGAGGGACAATCGCTGGGGCGCCTGGGTGGCTCAGTTGATTAAGCATTTGGCTTAAACATCTTAATACCAAAAATATGCAACTAACTCCTAAATTAATACTGGGCTAATCTATTTAATAATAGAAGCAAGAATGCTAGTATGAGTAACAAGAAATACTTCTCCTTGCATAAGCTTATATCAGAACAGATAACCACTGATACTTAACAAGATAAAAATAACCCAACTATAAACCAAATATAGAATCAACTATTAACCCAACACAGGTATGCAATTAAGGAAAGATAAAGAGAAGTAAAAGGAACTCGACAAATATAAACCCTGCCTGTTTGCCAAAAATATCACCTCTAGCACTTCTAGTATTAGAGGCACTGCCTGCCCGGTGACACTAGTTAAATGGCTTCAGTGTCCTGACTGTGCAAAGGTAGTTTACATCATGATTTCATGGTTTGTGAGATCGAGCCCTGTGTCTGGCTTGCTGCTGTCAGCACAGAGCCCGCTTCTGATCCTCTCTGCCCTCTTCCCCTGCTTGCACTCACTCTCAAAAATAAATGTTAAAAAAAAAAAATGAAAGCACAATCATAATTTGAGATTTCCAGTCAAGTGATCTATGACACAATGGACTTGATTTTTTTTTTTTTTAATGTTTTCTTCATTTCTGAGAAGACAGCATGAGCAGGGGAGGGGCAGAAAGAGAGGGAGATACAAAATCTGAAGCAGGCTCCAGGTTCTGAGCTGTCAGCACAGCCCAACGCGGGCCTCAAACTCCTAAGCCATGAGATCATGACCTGAGCTGAAGTTAGATGCTTAGCCGACTGGGCCACCCAGGCACCCGTGACACCATGGATTTGAAACAGGTTTTGAGTCCTTAAGAATGCAGGGGCTTGACCCAAAGTTACACTGAAATTTAGCGGCAACACCAGGGAAAGAAATGATACTCTACTTGTCAGAGCTTTGGTTTAGATCAACAAAACTCTTGATTAATTGTGATCTATTGAGGGTCAAAAATTGAATTAAAGTATAACAATCTCTACCTTCAGTGAATTTAGTAAGGAAGACTGTCAGAAACTTTTTTTTAAGAAGAGGAATTTTTATTTTTTTTTAATGTTTTTTAAATTTATTTCTGAGAGAGAGAGAGACAGCATGAGTAGGGGAGGGTCAGAGAGAGAGGGAGATACAGAATCTGAAACAGGCTCCAGGCTCTGAGCTAGCTATCAGCACAGAGCCCGACACAGGACTCGAACCCACGAACCGTGAGATCATGACCTGAGCTGAAGTCGGCCGCTTAACCGACTAAGCCACCCAAGTGCCCCCAGAAACAGTTTCAAATAACCCAGAGAGGATGCACAAAGGAAGGGTTCTTGGCCTAGGTTGCGGTACCTCAGCAGGGCTAGGGGAAGGTCGCAGCCATAGGGGTAATGATAATCATCAAGGCTTTCCCATCTCTCCGGCCCCTAGGGCTCCTTTCAGTTCCTCAACTGCTGGTTTCCTTCCTGCCTCAGTGCTCTTTACCTCTTAAACTCCCTAATGCTCAGTCCCCTTTTTGCTCAGCTATTACACCTCCTTCAGACCTTAAAATATTTCCTCCAAAGATGCCTCTTCCCAACCCCCAATCTAAATCAGTTTCTCTTGCTATAAGCCCATATAGCGCCACACCATTATGTTTATAGTGTCTGGTAATTATTGACAATCATCCTTTAGGCTGGTTCCTGATGGCAGTAACCAAGTCTGTCTGGCTCGGCAGGTAGCAGGCACTCCGTATTAAATGAATAATTGAAGTTAAACCAGATGATAAACTGGGCTTTGAAGGATATGTTGGAACCTACAGGCAAAGGGGGTGGGGTGGGTGAATTCGGACATCTGTATGGGAGAAACTGAATGGGCAGTGTTTGGGGGAGTTCTCTGAGCAGTTCTAAAGCATAGTTGGGGGGGATTATGGTATGTCAAAACTGTAGAGACTAGATCATTTTTAGATTAGAATGTGTCATTGATTCTATAGTCACTTTAGTTTTAATGTGTAATAGAAGTTAAAAATACTTTGGGTAAAAACAAACCAACATTTAAAATTTGTTTATTAACTACCCTAGTCCACATAACATCTTGCACCTACAAATGTATCAAAAGCTACTCCTGAATTTTGGCAAAACACTTTAACTGCTCCTTCAGCCTCAGCAAGTGTGCCTCTGAGAGGTATGGCAAACAAGTTTAAGATTAATGCCCAGAGGAGTTCAAGGGCATACCCCCTCCGTGCCCCACTGCTGAATGGAGCAAGTTCAACCTCAGCCCAGTGAGTTCTGCTGAACTCTGTTCCTCTGTCACCTGGTTCCATAATCCCACGCTTGGTTTGTTTCCTCGCAGAGGCCATGAGAACAATACAATTAATGAGTTAGGAACACAAGAGATAAAGTAAATGGCCCTGGAGTTCAAATCCTTAATTACTGTCTATTTTGGACTTAAATAAGTCCTTTTCAATTTTTTTTTTAAAATTGTTTAGGGGCGCCTGGGTGGCTCAGTCGGTTAAGCGGCTGACTTTGGCTCAGGTCATGATCTCACGGTTCATGGGTTTGAGCCCCACGTCAGGCTCTGTGCTGACAGCTAGCTCAGAGCCTGGAGCCTGCTTCAGATTCTATGTCTCCCTCTCTCTCTGATCCTCCCCTTCTCACGCTGGCTCTCTCTCTCAGAAATAAATAAAACGTTAAAAATATTTTTACAAAACTTAAAAATGATTAAATTTATTTATTCATTTTGCAAGACAGAGACAGAGGGAGAGAGAGAATCCCAACCAGGCTCTGTGCTGTTGGCTTGGAGCCCCATGCAGGGCTCGATCCTGTGAACTGTGAAATCTTGACCTAGAGCCAAAATCAAGTATCAGACACTTACCCAAGTGAACCACCCAGGTGCCCCTAAGTCCTTTTCAGTTTTAAAAATTAGGATAATAGTACCAAATTCTCTGTTGGGGAAACCACTTATAAACTAAATTTTAACCTCTAACAACATAGAGTTTTGTGGGGAGAATTAGAAAATTATCTCAGCCAACTGTATATGTCCACAAAAAGTCAAAATGATCTTAAAAAGTGTTTCTCTCCATCGTTAAATAAGCACTACCTAAAAAATAGATCAATAAATAAACATTGCCTACATAGGTCTAGTTGAAATAATAGAACTCATTGTGGTCAGCCTGAGAAAGTGATGCCCTTTCCTGGATTTGAGAGCATTATTATTCTCTATTCAGTATTTGATATTCATTTCTAGGCTCTAGAAAGGATGGATATCTTCCAGTTTCTCAAGTACTCTACACACCTGGTAATTTAATTTCCTTTAAACATTGCACTTATTACATGTGCTCTTGCTTTTAAAAAAAAAAAAAAGGTGTAATTAGAAATGTGTGGGCTCTTATAATCAGACCTGTATTTGAATTCTGCTCTGCTCTTCTGGTGAGTCATTTAACCTCTCTCTGCTTCTTTTTTTCTTATCTATTAAATAAGGATAATAATGCCTACCTCTTCATGTTGTAATGATGAAATTTGACCTTGTAAGATTCCTTACCCTTACTGAGAAGTCTTTATATAAATGGTAGGTCTTTTACGGTGGGTTCCTGCTTTTGCATAGGGAAACATTTAAGTCCTGGTATGAAAGGGCCTCAGAATGGTTCCCTCTTCCCTACCCCCAGGATTTACCTCTATTCACTTCTCTCTGTGCTCTTCCTCAGACATTTAAAGGAACGTACCTTGCACATATCATAACCTCTTGACTCTCTAATTCCTTTGTTCAAAATACCTTTCCACAGGGGCACCTGGGTGGCTCAGTCGGTTAAGTGTCCGTTCAGGTCATGATCTCATGGTTCATGGGTTCGAGCCCCACATTGGGCTCTGTGCTGACAGCTTGGAGCTTGGACCCTGCTTGGGATTCTATGTCTCCGTCTCTGCCCCTCCCCCACTCATGTTGTCTCTCTCTCTCTCAAAAATAAATAAACATTAAAAAAATTAAAATACGCTTCCACATTCACATTAGCCAGCCAACTGGGCACCTCTTCCTTCTAAGCTCCTGGCATCTCATGAATGCTTCCAGATGCACAACAATCTCTCCCACTTGAACTATTCATGCCTACTATATACATATCACAGAAAAGTTTCATGAAACAATGTTTACTATGTAAACACACTCCAGTACTTTCATTTTATTCTATTCTAAAACTTCTGCCTGAAATCTACTAAACCAAATGATCTTATGACCCCACTGGTGGATCGTGAATCGCAATCCAGAAGTTCACAACGAACTAGGTAAAATCCTTGAGCTCCTTTTGCCTCTCCCTCCCCTTCAGGGCAATCACTCATTTATTACACTGAACTAAAAAAGGGTCACAAATTCAAGAGTCCGAGTGAACAATATAATTGATTGAAAAAAGAGGGGTGTGAGAAGAATAGCCCAAACAGGATGATAAATGGTATATGACCCTTGGCCTCAGTGTCTGGGACGTAATAGAGAGAGGTGGGGACTTTGGGGGGGGACCAGAGAACATAGGCCCTGTCTAAAGGAGATAGATCTATTCAACTCCAGACAATTTCCACCTGAAATGCCCAGATCCTTTGAATTTAGGACAAATGGCAAATTAAGAAATCTTTATACTATCTCCCAATTTTTAAATGTCAACTCATTTTACAATTTTTTTAAATGTTGTATTTATTTCTGAGAGAGACAACATGAGCAGGGGAAGGTCAGAGAGAGAGGGAGACACAGAATCCGAAACAGGCTCCAGGCTCTGAGTTAGCTGTCAGCACAGAGCCCGACGCGGGGCTGGAACCCACGAACCGTGAGATCATGCCCTGAGCCGAAGTTGGACCCTTAACTGACTGAGGCACCCTTTAAATGTCAACTCATTTAAAAATTTTTAATGTGTCAGTGTACACCAAGACAATATATCCACCAGATTTGGTCCTTGGCCTGCCAATTAGCAGCTTCTAAATTAAGAAGATTAACTTCCGTATGTTAACTACACTGGAAATAAAAAAGAAAGAAAGAAAAAGTTCCCAGGGAATCAAACTGAACTGTACATTTCAGAAAAACTGTGTCACTCTATTCTGACCTGCAGTTTTTTAGTTGTATTTTGAAGTTAGGTATAAAGGTCAAAGATTATTTGCCTTGACTGAAATTTTCTTGCCTTAAGAAAAGGACTCCAATTCCCATTTTTCCCAGCTATTTGGTTGCTCATCAACTCCATCCCCAAGTGGCCTGTTACCACCAAGGCTAAAATGTTACTTTCTTTGAACACTGCAGTTTTAGCGTCTTAGCAAAAGACAGGTTTGTTCACTCACATTATTGGTGGTGAATAAATAGCAAGTCATTTTGTCCTGCATCCAATCACTTCTCCAAAGTCAGTTTTGCTGTGGTTGTCTTGGTTTCTGCCTAGCTTTCTGTCTTTGTTTTCAGCCCCTAGCAGTGGGGCTGAAAAACCAAATTGAGAAACTATTTTCTTAGATAACATAAAAGTGACTACGAAATTTCTCACCCCAGCATGTGTGTTCGAGAGAGTGACTCACCCCTGAGAGTTAATTGGGGTTAATTATTACCGGCCTGACTTGTCAAGGCAACAAAACATCTGGTATAACTTGCTTGCTCTCAGACAGGGGAGTTGCTTCTGCAGCTCACCATTTTGAAACCGTGGTGCGTACCTTGCAACGTATGATTATTCAAAATGGGAGGGGGCTGTGGACTGCCTGAGTAGGAATTAAGCTCACAATTAAGCCCTGGCAAGATGAAATCACATGTTGAGAGGAGAAAACGTCCTTCTCTCCTCCAACTCACATGACAAATTGAGACATCAGCAGTAAAGAACGGTGATTACCTTTTGCCCCTCTATTTTATTTTCCTATTTATATGCCAACCCTTTTTACCAAGGGCTCTCAATTGCCAAGGAGGCTGGATTTCTCAGTTTTGTTTTAGTTAAATTGCTCAGGCCTGGTGTGTTTCCAGCACTGCAGGGGAGATTAGAATAAAAGCTGGAACATGCAGAAATGTAACGCCTTCTGTCCAGGGATTCAGTGTGTCCTTCCTTCCTCCGCCTGCTTTTAAATGTTAGGAGACGTCTACCTTTTATCTGCTTATATGGATCCCATCCCTCCTTTCTGAGATTGCCTAGGACAATTCATTTCAGGCCAACCTAATCTTTTTTTTTTTTTTCTCCTCATTCTGTATAGTAAGGTTTCTTGCTGGGGAATGCACATCTAACTGTGCACAGGATATGTAGGATGCAATTTGGCCTGAACGGTTACCTTCAGGTAGGTGCCCATTTGTTTATTTTTGAGAGAGAGACACAGAGTGAGAGCAGGGGAGGGACAGGAGACACAGAATCTGAAGCAGGATCCAGGCTCTGAGCTGTCAGCACAGAGGCCGATGCGGGGCTCGAACTCACAAACGTGAGATCATGACCTGAGCCAAAGTCGGAGGTTTAACCCACTGAGTCACCCAGGCACCCGTCCTTTAAATTAAGTATACTAACGATTTGAGCCAAGCTTTATACATTGTATCATATTTAATCCCCCACACGATCCCCATTTTAAGAATAAAAAAGCAGGTTTGATGATGTAAAGATATTTGTTGCCATTAAATCAAGATTAACGTGGTTGGTGGACAGACAACTGGGATTCAAACCCACCTATTTCCATGGCTGCCTCCAATGAATGACTTCAAACACCAGCATCCTTTGCAACGCCCCACTGCGCAAACGCACACTCTCCACGCGGCCAAGCGGCTCGGCTCTTGGCCCCCATTCTTAATCCTAGCTGTTGGAAGGAAACCCAATCAGATACCGCCTTTCCCTGCTCCCCGACCAATCGGAAGGCTGTTGCTAACACACCCGTTATATTTTTAGCTCTTCAGTGCTCTGGAGCCGGGTGGGTCGGTCGGTTCTCTCTGCTCGCGTGGAACACGTTAGCGGAGAGCGAGGGAGGAGTGGGGAGAGACGGGGAGGGGAGGGAGGTGGAGAGGGAGGAAAAAGAAGGGGGAGGAGTGGAGTGGGGCAAAGCGGAGGGGGGCGTAGATGTGACGCTCTGCCACTCGCTGACGCACGAGGCAAGTAGTCCCTGGAGGTGCCCCAGGGGCTGAAGCGCTCAGCGTGGGGGGATGGGCGCTTTCAGGCTCAGGCTTCCGCCTCCCGGTCCCCTTGGAGTTTGTCCTCCAGTCCGGCGTTTTTCTGCTGCACTCAAGGAAAGCGCTTTTAACCCCCCAAGCTACCATGGCCTCTGCCCTCGCCAAAAAAAAAAAAAAAAAAAAAGATCAAGGAACAAACAAAAGCAAACTGTTCGTAGCTGGAAACTTGTTGGATTTTGCCACCCCACGTGGGTTTGGCGACAGCCTTTGGGCCGGAACCATCTCGAATGAGAATAAAGGTCGGGGGGGGGGGAGAGAGAATTGGGGAATGGGCGACTGGGGAGAAGACAACGCGCAAGCCCCCAGGAGCCCCGGATCTCGCCACTGGCAGTCCCGTCCGCCTGTGACCTCACCTGGGCACAGGCCTCCCTACCCCCAGCTCCGCGCCCCGCAGTCACAAAGTAGTCGAGTGTGTGGGCCCGAGCGCGCCCACCCAGGGCCAGGGAGCCTAGCTAGGTCTTGCAGCCTGAGGGACCGTCGGGTGCGTGAGCCCGGCGCCCCTGACGTGGGCAGGTGCCAGACCCCGCCGGCGGGAGCTCTCACGAGAAATGTGGCTCTCTCTAGTGTCCCGTACAGGGGTCGCCGGCCGGGAGAGAGCAAACGGGAGGATCCGCACCGAGGCCGAGCCCCGCCCGAGGCGGGCCGGGGACAAGCTCGCGCGCCTGCGCGAAGCGGGTGCTGGCCTTCAGCCGCGAGGCAACTGGGGGCCAGAGGCAGCCAATGGGAGGTAACGTGGCGCTAGGCTCCCTCGCCTCCCACTCGGTGTGCCCCGTCCACGGCTTCCCCTTCTCCCTCCCTTCGACGTTAACATCCCCCGATGAGCCACAAGGTGCTCGCTCGGAAGACTCGAGCCAACCCGAATTAATAGAAGAGCGAAACGTTTCCAAAGCTCGCGCCGTCCCCTTCAGCTCCCGTCAAGGGACAGTGACTGGGGCGGTGCGAGAGCCGTGGGGGAGTGGTCGGACGGTTAGATGCCCAGACCCGAGGGACTCGCCGAGGTGCCGAGGGAACGGGTCGGGCGACAGTCAGCGCCCGGGCAGGTGTAGGGCCCAGGCCACGGAAGTTGGGGGGAGGGAGTTACCCCTCCCCGCGACATCCATTCATCCGACACGTCTGAAGTGAACAACTCGGTTCCAGTTGAGGCGGCTGCTCTCCCGGAGCTCGCTGTCTACCTGGGGAAACACAGCACCCGATGAGCATGCTTTCAAAGTGCTTTGGGGCATGAATAACTGGCACGGCGCTGTGATGGGGAGGGGAGGCGGAGAGCGTTACAGGCCGGCCAAAGGCAGCCTTTGCTGGCGTTTGGGCTGGGATCTGAGTGAGAAGAGGCCGGCCGCGTGACGTCGGGCGAAAGGGGGCCGCGGGACACCCGGGGTGGCACGCGGAGCCTCGGAACTCGCGGCTCGAGGGGTTAAGCCACCGGGCGGGCTGAGAAGTAGTCCCGGCTCGGCGCCCGGCCCCGCCCCTGCAGGGCGGAGGGACGCATCACGCAGGGGTGGGAAGCCGGATCCATGCGCAGGGTTGCTAAGGGTGAAACTTTTCATTGACTTTGCTCACTTCGGCCCGGGGCGCGGGAAGGTGCGGCTGGTTGCCGGAGAGAAGCGAGTGGCTCGGGCGACGCGGGGCCAGAAGGGCAGGACCGCCCGCTGGCCAGAGCCCGGACCGTCCTCCGCCCCGCGACACGAGCCGCCCTCCGGCCCGACATCCCCGCGCCGTCGCCGCCGGCCCGCCCGCCCGCCTTCCGTCCCCCCTTGGCCGAGCCTGACCTCCAAAAAGCTGAAAGAATTATTATTGAGAGTCATAACCCCAAACTCCCTTACTTACCCTCAGCCCTCATCGAAGAAAAGGACCTATCAGCCTCCGGCCCGGCGGCGCCCGGGAAGGAAGAAAGAACGAGCACCGCACCGCGCCCAGGAACACCCTGGAGGGAGAAGCCACCCTGCGCCCGGACAACCGCTCCGCTGCAGTGGAGACCCGAGTGAGTGCGTGGGGGGTTCGTGCGGGCGGGGGGACCCCTGAGACTCCTTCCTTCACCTCGGTCCCACTCCCGCTCTTCGCTTTGCTGGACGCCGCACGTTGCTGTCGCGCCCCGACCCTGACGACTGGCCAAAATTTTCCTTTCTCCGTCCACCTCCCCAGTAGAACCCCCCCTTTCCCCCATTGCTCCCCTCCTCTCTGGGTTCGGAGTGTGGCCCCCTCCTGGGTGGGGTGCATTTCCTCCCCCTCTCCGCCTCCCTCAGTTCTTCGTATCGTAGAGACTCGCTGGTTTTTTCCTTGATCTCCCCTTCCGAACCCCCCCCAACATAACTTCCACCACCATTAAATCAGGAAAGAAGGGGACCCAGACCTTGTTTTTCTGCTGCTTTTCCCGTGTGTGGGGAGGGGGTGGTCATAATTAATAGGGTTTATTTCTGGGCCTATGGAGCTGAGAGGTGGAAGGTGGACATCCCCTTTTGGACCGGTCAGTGGTGACAGTCTCCTGGCCGCTGAACCAGAATTCACCATTTTGGCTTGCGCTCTTTAGTGTTTTAAGGGAAAACCGTGCAGGGGGTGGGGGGCGGCGGGCGGCGGGAGGGAGGAAGTACCTTTACACCAATACCAAGTGAGTGGATTCTGGTTGATTTGGTGAGATGCCTGGGAGGAAGAGCCCTACTTTTAAGCTCCTTCCCCTCGTGTCTGGAGGATGGACTATGCCCTTGACCAGAGAGACGGGGTGGAGGGGCAGCTGGCAAGGCTTTTCCCACCCCGCAGAGAAACCAAAACCCTACACAGCAAGCTTCAGGTTGTGCCAGCGGAGGGGGTCTTCAGGTTGTGCCTGCTCAGTATCTAACCTTTCTTTTTCTCCCTCCTATCCACCTTACCCTGGGAGTTTGTCCCTCATCTTTGATTTTCCAGCAGAAAAGCACTGCTATTGCTTTCTTGGGCACCTGCCCCCATCCCCCCCTTAGGCAGTGGGAGAAAGAAGCTTGTGTGGGAGGGAGGATTAGGGAGGTTTAACACTGTTGGGGAGCTTTGCCGAGGATCTGGTAAGTCTGGTCATAGAGCAGGCCTTGCAATGGGAGACGACTCCCAAACAATTTCAAGTATTAGAATATGTTGTTCAGGTGTCAGATGTACAGTTTTGCCTTCCCTGCCCAGGAACCTTTTCCCATTTCCCTAGCTGGGTCTAGTTACTCTGAGTTGGATTAGAAGAGGGGTGAGGCTTGGGCCTTGCTGGCTTGGGGCCTTTTGATTATTGGCCCGGCTCCTCCCCGCAGCTTAACTGGGAATTTCTTTGGCTGAGAGTACGGGAGAACTGGGTTTAGTTCCTGCCTTTCCTGGCTTTAGGGGTGCTGGAGCTGAGCCCGCTGGGCATTAAGTGAAAAGGCTTTTTTTTCCCTCTTTGAATTCACCGTCCCTACAGCAACTCCAGACGGAGCCCACCCAGCCCAAGGAATACAGATTAAGCGGCAGTGTTGGGGGAGGGGGATGACCTTTATCTGTCCCAGCCCACCGCCTTCACCCAGAAAAAAAACCTCATCAGAAGATCTTTAATTCAATAGTCATGAGAGGCAGTGAAGAAAAAGAGGAAGGGGTGGGGGGAATTCAGCCTTACTTGAGGCCAAGACGCGAATACAGCGGGGTGGTACAATACGACGAGCAGGCCTTATGGGTAGAATTTATATAAAATGTATTAGGCGGTGGGCGGGGTGGGGGGGCGTCCGCCACAGCGCGCATGTGCATCGGAAACTTTTCCTCGGTTCCCCGGACCTCGGCCAGCTCCCCTTACCGGGCATGCGTAATTAGCTGGCTGAACCTTCGCAAAGCATTCAGGGAAGTGTAGTGTACACAGAAAGTAGGTCACTTGCTCCAGCCTGAGTATGGGGTTTCTCAGGACTACAGTTCCCAGAGTACAGAGCGCACCTTCGCTGCCAGCCTGCGTTGGAGTTGAGCGAAGTCTTCCTGGCTTCGAGTAATCGAGGGCCGCAGAAAGGGCCTTCTTAGTCGGAAGATTTGGGGTTGCACAGTCCGTGTTTGAGGTACATGGTGGAGACTCTGGGTGGGGTGTTGCGGTATGTCGGCCCAAGTCCTGGAAGTCCTTCAGCCATACCCGCTGGTCCATGTCATTGCCTCTGGGACTGGCGGGGTGGGGCCGGGCCGTCCCACTGAGCCAGCTCTCCGGGGCATCTGGTTTGTGGCTCCTGTCGGCCTTGTCAAAACTGAGGGCCCCTCCTCCCCGACTCCTCTTTCTAGACCCTTTTGAATCCTATAGTGCTTGGGTTGTAGGACTATTCGGATGTTAGGGCTTGAGGTGCCTGGATATTTTTATAGGTTCTCGTGGTTTAGGGACCTGATGAGTTCCGTCACCATTATCCCTCCTTTTCTTCTTTAAAACATAGCTGCTTTTCTTAAAAATCTTCCATAGCATATTTGTCATAAGTTCTTTCTGGAATCTCCATTACCACATCACTGAATACAGCAGCTGCCTTCCTTATCCCATTTTTGTCCTTAAGCACTCTTTAAAACACAAGTCAGCACGAGGGATCTGAACCAGAGATTAATTTTGCTGTTGGAAATAAACAAGTGAAGGAGAATCAGATTCTAATTGAATTTGGACAATTTACTCTCACATTTTCAACTTTCTAATATATTGACAAAAGATAGATTTTGCTCTTGTTAAATACTTAGCATTGGTTTTTGTTTGGATTTTGTGTTTAGGGGTGGGTTTTTGTTTGCTTGGGTTTGTTTTTACTTTTACTTTTTGTCACCTTTCTGGCCTTTGGCACCTGAGTGAGGGTTGGAGAAGGTCTTTAAGTCCTTCCTTGCCTCATAACTCAAATCTACTTCTTCCTTGTATTGAAGAGTAGTTACTGCCACGGGCGCCTGGGTGGCTTAGTCGGTTAAGCGTCCGACTTTCGCTTAGGTCATGATCTCGCGGTTCGTGGGTTCGAGCCCCGCGTCAGGCTCTGTGCTGACTGCCAGCTCAGAGCCTGGAGCCTGTTTCGGTCTGTGACTCCCTCTCTCTCTGACCCTCCCCTGCTCACACTGTCTCTCTCTCTCTCTCTCCTAGAAATAAATAAAACATTAAAAAAAAAAAATTTGAAGAGTAGTTACTGCCAAACTTTCTAATCTTACTACATTTTATGAATATTTTCTATATAAGCTCTAGAATTTGTCCATACCCTTTAAAAAAAAATGAAGAAATTCATCTGATTGGTCACTCTTATCTTTAAAGACAAGACTGCATCAGTGCTTTAATCCGCTGTTCCATAAGCTTCTTGAAGTCAAAATTAGAGCCTGAGCTGATAGAGCAGAAAATCTCATTCTGGTTGTCCAGCATTTTTGAAAGGTTCCACCCCACAGCCATCTGGCCTGGCCTGTTCTCCAATTAAAGAGGCAAAGATGGCATTATGTACTTCCTTATTTGTGTGGCAGCATCACTGAGGTATAAATTGGTGTGCAGCTTTAGTTGCTTATGCTGCAGAAAATGGTTAGCTAGGCAGGGCTGATGACAGTGGTTCTATTGTATTTTGGGGTGGGAGGCTTATTTCCCAATGACTTTGGCCTGCATTTAAAATGTTCCCATTTTGGGGCGCCTGGGTGGCTCAGCTGGTTAAGCGTCCGACTTCGGCTCAGGTCATGATTTCTCAGTTTGTGAGTTTGAGCCCCATGTTGGGCTCTGTGCGGACAGCTCAGCCTGAAGCTTGCCTCAGATTCTGTCTCCCTCTCTCTCTGCTCCTCCTCTGCTCATGCTATCTCTCTCTCTCTCTCTCCCAAAAATAAATAAGCAATAAAAAAAAATTTTTTTAAGTTTATTTTTGAGAGAGAGAGAGACAGAACCACACTAGATATCCCAACACTAGCAAGGGAGGGTCAGAGGGAGAGGGAGACATACAATCTGAAGCAGGCTCCAGGCTCTGAGGTGTCAGCACAGAGCCCAACTTGGGGCTCGAAGCCACAAGCCATGGGATCATGACCTGAGCCAAAGTTGGACGGTTAACCAACTGAGCCACCCAAACGCCCCCTAAAAAATTTTTAATGCTCCCAATTTGGGGCGCCTGGGTGGTTCAGTCAGTTAAGTGTCGACTCTTGATTTTGGCTCAGGTCATGATCTCATGGTTCGGGAGTTCAAGCCCCACATCAGGCTCTGCACTGTCAGCAAAGGGATTCTCTCTCTGCTCCTCCCCCCCAAATAAATAAATAAACTTAGTAAATAAATAAAAATGTTTTTAAAAGCAAAATAAAATGGCCCCATTGTGAGGCTGAACTCTTTAGGGGAGGTTAACTTGGAGGGCACGTATGCAGCCAAGTTTGAGGAGGCCTAGAGAGGTGTAGGAGCCCCTTGGTCTGAGTGGTGTACCAAGAAGCTGTGTGGTGCTTTGGGAGAAGAGTCACGTCATATTTAAGTCTGTTTTACTTTGAACACTTTGAAAACATTGTCTTTAACTCCAGGCCCATTCTTGGGAACCAGTGCCAACTTCCTTCACACCTTTTTAATCTCTGTGTAGGACACCTCTGGTGGGCCGCTGTGGCCCTTACTGACTGCTGTTCCTGGAGGCTAGTCTTGCATCTGGTGATGAACCCAATCCTTATCAACAGAAAACCCTCTATCTTTACCATTTTTTTTCCTCTTTAAGCCGAGGACTGTGGAGTTGATCTGTGCTCATGGCACCTCTGTTGACTCTGCCTTGTGACTCTCTCTCTGGTCAGACCTGAAATGAGGGTGGGACTAGACCCCTAGGCAGTGTTATATGATGCTCCAGATTGATCCAGTGCTGCTTCTCTGACACTCACCCCAGAGAGCTTTTGCCTGAGGATCCAGTCCTAAAACATTCCTAGGAGCCAAGGCCCCAGCCCTGAGAATGACAAGGAAGTGAGCTGGGGCAGGTGTTCAAAAAACTTAAGATTCTCAAGCGAAGAATTAGCACCTGAATATTCTATGCTGGACCTGGAGGGGTTTATATTTATTTCTTTACTTTAAAGAGTTTTTTTAAGAGAAACTCTTTTTTAATTTTTTTAAATGTTTGTTTATTTTTGAGAGAGCATGAGCAGGAGAGGGGGAAAGAGAGAAGGTACAGAGGATCCGAAGCAGACTCATACTGACAGCAGTGAGCCCCACATGGGGCTCAAACCTGCCAGATCATGACCCGACCCAGAGTTGGACACTCTACTGAGCCACCCAGGCGCCCCTATTTACTATTTTAAGTAGGCTCCAAGCCAGCCACACATGGAGCCCAATGCAGGGCTCGAACTCATGACCTGAGCTGAGATCAATAGTGAGACACTTAACCAACTGAGCCACCCAGGCACCACCAGAAGGGATTTTAATCAAAATCTAGCTCCAGATCTATCACAAGGCAAAAGATGCCCTTAATGGATCATGGATTAGTCTTGTCTCTGTGCTGAGCTCAGCAGCATTGTCCCCCAGAGGCGTGGCCAGGAACATGTTCTGGCCCTGCTGAACCTCGAAGATGGTCCTTTTCAGCCTTCTCATGGCGTGAGCCTGGAGCCGCCCTTATGGAGAAAGCGAAACTAGGATCACTGGCTCTCAGGACTTTACAGATCATCTTCCTGAGACACAGGCTGGCCCAGACCTCAGAAATAAACCTTTTTGACCTCTGCGGGGAGCTGGCTGTGAGAGAGTCCCAAAATAACAATTTGAGTGTTTATCTTGGGCTATCTCCTCTCCAGGGATCTCTAAACACTCGATAAATCCAATCCGATGCCAAGGACAGGTGGTCCTACAGTCCCCAGGAGACTGAGTGATGATGGGTCACCAGCTGGGAACCACAGGGTGATGGAAAATTTCTTCTCTTTGCTGTCCTCCTCACCTACACTCTAGCCAGAAGCTAGAGATTCCCTCGGGCCACACCAGTGCAGTTCTTAAGGATTTTTTGGCCTACGGGGCTTTGCCTCCCTCTCATTTCCTCTGCTTCCCTGGGACAGCCCCCTGGTCAACGTTCCCTTGTTGGCCCGCACCTCTGGTTATGGCAGGTCTGGACTTCTTCCTGGGGATCATGTTCTTGTCTCCATTCTTAGAAGCGGCCTAGATGGAAATTCACCCTTTGGTTACACTGTGATGTTCTTACATCAGTTCTGCAAACCCACAGAGCGAGCCAGAGAGCATACACGCTCAGGGAGCCCCGGATGACAAATTGGATGTGACTGGAGTCCAAGCCCCCACTGAAAAGTTGGCAGTGCTGCTTCCTGTTCAGTGATCTGTATCCCTTTCCATTTAAGGAGAAAAACTAAGGATTTTACACTTATATCTTGGCCTGTGACAGTTTGGGAGCACGACTTCACCAAGATGTTACAGAGATAAGTTAGCAAGGGCCTCCTCTTCTCCAGTTGAATTAGGGGCTCCGTTTTTTTGTTATTTTTTTTAATAGCAGTTGTAGAGTGACTTGGCTTCTCCAAATAGTGGAAGCCACAGCACTCCTTTAGAATTACTTGAATTGCTTTAGAATTTCTTTAGAATTGTTAGAAAAACTGTAGCTCATTTTATCAGGTCCTTACTAAATACCAGGTTCAGTGTCAGACAGTTTACATCTTTGAGCTAACTTAATCTCTATGATAACCTAATGTTACTGATGAAACTAAGGCTCAGAAAGAAGTAACTCGCTCTCAGTCACACTGTTAAATTGGTCTCTGGTGGAGCAGAAACGGGACCCTGAGTATGTGTGACCCAAAGCTGGTGCTTGTCTGTCCTTTGCCATTGAACTTCCTACCCCTTGGGCTTTCTGCATAATCTACTTATGATACCCTTTGTTCTCATTTCTCAGAACTCTCAGGAGCCCAAGGCTGCCCATCTCACGTCACCTGCCACTGCCCTTGGCTTGTACTCTTGCCGTGAGCTGATTCACCACCTAGGAGAGGACCATGCAGCTGGAGATCAAAGTGGCCCTGAACTTTATCATCTCCTACTTGTACAACAAGCTGCCCCGGCGCCGGGCAGACCTGTTTGGGGAGGAGCTCGAGCGGCTCTTGAAGAAGAAGTACGAAGGCCACTGGTACCCTGACAAGCCGCTGAAGGGCTCTGGCTTCCGCTGTGTTCACATTGGGGAGATCGTGGACCCCGTGGTGGAGCTGGCCGCCAAGCGGAGCGGCCTGGCGGTGGAGGATGTGCGGGCCAACGTGCCCGAAGAGCTGAGCGTCTGGATTGACCCCTTCGAGGTGTCCTACCAGATCGGCGAGAAGGGGGCAGTGAAAGTGCTGTACCTGGATGACAGCGAGGGCTGTGTTGCACCAGAGCTGGACAAGGAGTTCAAGAGCAGTTTCAACCCTGATGCCCAGGTCTTCGTGCCCATCGGCAGCCAGGACAGCTCCCTGTCCAACTCCCCATCACCATCCTTCGGCCAGTCACCCAGCCCCACCTTCACCCCCCGCTCCGCCCAGCCCATCACCTTCACCACCGCCTCCTTCGCCGCCACCAAGTTTGGCTCCACCAAGATGAAGAAGGGGGGCGCAGCAGCAAGTGGCGGGGGTGTGGCAGGCAGCGGGGCAAGTGGCCCGCAGCCTCCCCAGCAGCAGCCCCGCATGGCCCGCTCTCCCACCAACAGCCTGCTGAAGCACAAGAGCCTCTCTTTGTCTCTGCACTCGCTGAACTTCATTGCGGCCAACCCGGCCCCTCAGTCCCAGCTCTCCCCCAATGCCAAGGAGTTCGTGTACAACGGCGGGGGCTCTCCCAGCCTCTTCTTTGATGGGGCCGATGGAGGGGGCAGCGGGGCTGGCACCTGCAACAGCAGTGGTTTCGACGTGGCCCAGGTATTTGGAGGCGGCGCCAACAGCCTCTTCCTGGAGAAGACACCCTTCGTGGAAGGCCTCAGCTACAACCTGAGCACCATGCAGTACCCCAGCCAGCCCTTCCAGCCCGTCGTGCTGGCCAACTGACCGCCCGCCTGCTGCGGGGCCAGGAGCGCCCAAGACCACAGAAAAGAGAAAGGAAAAGAAAGGCCAAAAAAAAGAGGAAAAGAAAAATACACAAAAAGATTTCTCGTCTTCTCACTCTGGCTTCTCGTAAAAAGATCCAGTCCAGGCATGGAGTGGGAGGGGGCTCCTAAAGCACCGAGTCTGTTTAACTCAACCCCCTGCTGCTTTCCTGTCTGCCTCTGATTTATTTGATTGGTTTGGGTTTTATGTTTTTTTCTTTTTTCTTTTTCTTTCCTTTTCCTTCTCTTTTCCTTTTTTTTTTTTTTTTTTACATGTAGTTTTCTATATAACATCTTTAATTAGTGGCTTCCTGTGCTAAGAACGGTCCAGATGTGAATTGCTGCTCCCTGCTCCCTCCCTCTCTCCCTCCCTCCCACTGTTGAGGATCCGTGTGTCCTCGCTCACAGGGAAGGAAGAGCCGCAGCTGGGGCCTGACCCTGCCCAGAGCTGGGAGAGGCTGCCTTGTGTCACTGCCTCTGTCACCCAGCTGTCCTTTTACTCAAAGCCATCCAACCTCAGAGGGCCTTCTTGGGCCCTACCACCCAAATAGGTCTGACCCCACCCCCCACCCCCCACCCCCCACCCCCCGGCCTGAGACACAGGGAGCTGCTGACTGGCCAGTTGACACCCTCCCACTAGAGCTGATGTCCGTGACTCCAGGGAGGTTAGCACTCTGGTGGAATTGCTGTCATCTCTGTCCTGTGGCCCCATGCCACCATCTCCACCTGGCCCAGCCGGTGACACATGTGGCTTTTCATATAGCCCCTTCTTCCTGGGGCCTGAGGTTGTGGGGCAGGAGGTGGGGCAGGTGCGGGTATGTGTGTGCATGTGTGTGCGTGGTTTGCTGTCCTGTTTTAAAGGATTCCAAGCCATGTGAAACTCCCCCGTCCCCTGTCACCCCCCCCCCCCCGACTCTGAACATGGTTCCAGGTTGCAGCAAGTGCTTATTTATGTACGAGGCTGGGGAACGGGCCGGGCAGGTGGTCAGTTCTTTTGTAGGATGGGTCACGTGGTGGGATGAGACTGCGGCTGAGCCTGAGACGCTCCCAGGGGAAAATACTGCGGAAGGAACTGGGTTCTGCACTTTTGTTTTTGACCAAAAAAAAAGAGAGAGAGGAAAAAAAAGAGTTAGCTGTGAGGGGCTGAGGGAATACCAGCCCCTGATGCCTAAGAGAAGTCCCTGGACTCAGATCCTCCTATTTGGTGACCTTAACCCAGGGTGGGAGCTGCTCACCTGGGCACCCTGGAGGGGGGTGGGAGTTTGGGTCAGTGCCTGGAGTGGGCAGTCCTGAGCCTTGAATCGAGACTTCTTAGTCTTTTGGTTGTAGATGTTATTTTAGTATGTTTCTGCCCCTGCCTGCCTGCATGAGAACTTCTTGGTACCTCTTCCCATCCCCTCCGACTGCCTGACCCAGTCCCACTTGGCCTTGATGCTGAGGAGTGGTCTCCCCAGCAGGTGGTGCCTGTGGCTTAGAGGAGAGCGCTGGCTCCCGCCCCTGCCGGAAGGGTTGTTTCTCCCGCCTGACCCCAGTGAGCCAGCTTTCACGCAGTGCTGCTTCGGCTGACGGGCCACACAGCAGCAGGGCCCCCATCACCAAAAAGTACCAAAGCCCTTGGCACCCCACCCCACCCCCGCCTCCTCAATGAACCCCAAGTGGGTAACCGCTGCGGCAGTGAGTCCGGCCCAGACAGACACTGCCAGCCTCCCCTCCCTGCAGTGGGCACCAGCTCTACCTCCCCCAGCGGGGCAATGCCCTGGCTCCTCAGCCCGGTAGCCTCTGTCCCCTCTACTTCTCAGGGGCCAGCCCTGTCCGGGCTACCCTCCCCCTAGCCCTCAGCTCCCGCACAGGTGACAGGCCCAGGCAGATCCCTGCTCTCTGGGAAAGGTTGGATGCTGCCTTATTTATGCCCTCTTCCAAGCCCCCCCCCCTTGCCCCACTCATGGGCACAGGTACCCACCCCACCCCACCCCGAGTCGGCTTGTGTCTCACCGCATCTAGGGAGAGGGGGAGACCAACCCCTTAGTGTCTTTTGAAATACGAAGAAAAATGTTTGTTCAGGAGCATGGCTCCAGTGCTGGACTCTTGGGCCCGGTTCAGTCTGTCTCGTCTCAGATCTAGGCATTTTTGCTTCAATTTTATTTTTTTTAAGGAAACAAAAACAAAACTCTGCACTAATTTACCTGGTTTCGTAGGAAAACTTTTTTTTTATTTTTTACATTTTTTGGTGTCCGTTTGTATTGAATAATTTGCTACATTTGTAAAATGTAAGAGGTATATATAATATATGTATATTTCTAACGTAAAAGACGTAATTTTTTCTTTTCAAGATTTTTTCTTAAGAGGAGAGAAACAGATATTTTTTCAGGAAAAACAAACTTTAAAATAAAAAAAGAGGAGAATGAAACCTATTTCTCCCCTTTCCCCATCCTCTCTCTGTCTGTCCCTCTTTCCCAGGAATAAATCAAAAGGTGGACTGTCTTGTAAAGAATGTAAACTCTTAGTCCAGAATGATGTATTTTTCTCAATGCAGTGAGCTATAGATTCTCTAGTCTGACCCCTAGGGATGGGAAGGAGGGCATTGAGGCAGTGTGGAGCGGAGCTTGGGGGAGCAGGGTAATGAACTTGTTTTCTTTAGTGAAGGAGGAATACAATCAAGCGTTTTGTATTCAGAATGTTGTGCAATATTTTGGAATGGGACATTGGTGTGTTTAGAGATTTAGTTTAAAAACAAAACAAAAAGATTGATCAAATCTGTACAGTTTATATTGTTCCAGATTTTTTTAAGTTTGTATTAAAAGCATGATATATAATAGCCTCCTGCTTGCTCCTGGCTTAGTTTATTTGGGGGCCCTTTTTAGGATGGAGAACGTGGGAGCAACCCAGCCTCTGGTGGCTTCAAGAGACCGTTGGTCCTCCTCACCTGACCCCTTGGGGGTCCCACGTGCCACAGGCCCCTTTTGACCACCTGTCCCATCAAACCAGGACATGGAGTCCCCACTTCTGGGGGTTCTTTTCCACACTGGAAACTGGCTCCCCGAGGCCGGGAACTGCCCAGGCTCCCTCTGCTGATGGGTTGTGGAGCCAGTATTGGCAACAGAGCCTTAGGAACAGAAGAACTCCGTGGGTTTTTAGGAATTGGCCTGTTCCTTGGAGGCCGAGGGAGGGACTGGCCTCCAGCCTGCTCTCGATCTAGTATTTGCCGACCTCAGACGGCTAGACCCTTACAGGCGGGTAAGGATGAGAAGAGCCACTAAGTGAGGTTCTGTCCAAATACCTGGTTCTTGGATTCTTGGCCCTTCTCTTGGCTGGGCAGTTCCAGAGCCTGGGGCCAGGGAAGAGCTCAGCCACTGCCCACCCACCCCTAGTACCCCCCTCCCCCTGCCCCACCGGGCCGGCCTATATAACGCAACTTCCTTTGTGTGCCTTCTCCCTGGCAGTGGCCCCCCAGGTTGAAGGGGGCAGCCAGGTATTCAATGAATCTTCAACCCTCATAGCAGCCTGGGGACAGAGGTGTTATCTCCACAGTACAACTGAGAACAGGGCTCCCAAATGGATTATCTGCTTAATTCACAAGACGGGAGGCTGGGACATTGTGTGTGACATTTTCATGTAGAGTTGTGGGAACTGCTACAGAAGTGTGACACTGATAGAGGGGACACTGATAGAGGGCTGACCCTGCCACCTCCAGGCTGGGACAGGGGGCAGGCACAGTTCTGGGGCATCACTGGGATGGGGTCTCTGGTGTCCTGCTTCCCAAACAGGCCAGCATGGATCCCTCCCCACCCAGTGTGTGAATTAGGCCTAGAAGCTCTTGGGCCACACCCTGAACCTCTGCACAGGGTCTAAGGAGCTCTTGATGTGTGGCCATCTGTTTTCCACGGAGCCTATCAGGCAGAGGGAGGCCCCTGTTCAGGATGCCCAAGCCTTCACCTGCCAGAGGTCCACTCCCAGGGGTCCTGCCTTCCTCTGTCCTGCTGGGGAGAAGCCCAGCCTGTCCCTCTGACCCTGGGTACAGGCTACCCACCTACCTGTGGGCCCCAGGGCCCCTTGTACACTCCACTCTATTTATGCTAATATAGGTCCTGCCATAGCAGGTACCCAGAGTCCCCCATTCCCATTCCCTGCGTGTGTACCAGAGCCGATAGGCCGAAGGGAGCCCCAGCTCAGTGCCGAGACCGCCTTCCGGGACACCCTTCCGGCCGAGAGAATGGCAATTCCAGATTCACACAAACCCCCAAATTCTCCACAGCAAGGCAAAGAAGTTACTTCTTTATACATTCATGCCTTCATTTATTCACTAAACGCTCACTGGCTCTTGAGCGGTGGAGCGGGGTATAAGGGGCTGCCTGGGGTATAAGGGCCTGGGCTCTACCACCGAGGAAGAAAAAGCTTTCATTCTGGTAGACTCAGCTCCTGGGAAAGAAGGCTCACTTATTCACTTGACAAACCCTCCACGAACACCCACTGTCCATCCCGGGAACACAGGTCAGACGGCAGGGACAGGACAGGTGTGCCCAGGGGCGCTGAGGGATCAGGAGGTGAAGAAAGCACAAGGTAGCCAGGAAGAAGAAAAGCAAGGCCTGGCCCCTCCCCAGGGACCCATCAGGGCAGAGTCACCTCTACCCCCTTAGAGGACGCAGGCCCCAGTCCCACCCGTGCTGCTCCCTCCTGCAAAACCACTTCACCTCCTCTGGCTCCTCAGTTCCCTCGCTTCTAAAATGAGGATAATACTCGCACTAGCCGTGAAAATTAGGTGAAATAATGAACGGAAAATGCTAAGCACAGTTGCTGGCCCAGAGCAAATGACAGAGTAAGAGGCAAGTGTCACCTTCTCCATCTGGGCCATTATTGTCCACCCTTGAACACCGCCAGCCAGCCCAGTCCAGGAGGCTTCCTTGCATCAGCAAAGAGGCCGAAACACAACCTCGCCAGCAGCAGGACCCAGCAGCTGGGGCACAAGAGGAAACTCCATCCTTGGAGCAGAGGCTAGGC